TAAAGCCACCATCCTTTATTTTCAGACCATATGCCACGCAGGTCTATGAAGAGGAGCTTAACTCTTCACGAGCCTTTAAATGCCAATGAAATCTCTTCATTTGAGCTGTGCTTGAAAATAGCAGAGCTGCCAGTGTTCTGACGGGTCATGAAAACACTACAAAACATACATTTACATTTAGTTTAGGTTTTTACTTTAAGTTAAGTTGTTTGTCTTTTTACCAAAATGTCATTTACACTGAATGTAATTAAATTAATTAAATGTTTAAAATTAATTACATTTTTTTAAATAAAATTTCATTTCCTTTACTAAATTAAAAAGAGATAGTTAGACCAAAAATGAAAATTGTGTCATCATTTATACAAAGGATGTTATATTGAAGAAAGCTAAAAACCTGTAAGCATTGACTTCTATAGTTTTTCCTACGGTGGAAGTCAGTGGTTATGGGTTTTCAGCTTTTTCAATTGATCTTATTAAATGCATTTTACTTCTCATAAAGTTGATATTGTGGCGAAGCAGTGGCGCAGTAGGTAGTGCTTTTGCCTCACAGCAAGTAGGTCGCTGAGTTGGGAGGTTCGAGCCTCGGCTCAATTGGCTTTTTTTGTGTGGAGTTTGCATGTTCTCCCTGCCTTCGCGTGGGTTTCCTCCGGGTGCTCCGGTTTCCCCCACAGTCCAAACACATGCAGTACAGGTGAATTGGGTAAGCTAAATTGTCTGTAGTGTATGAGTGTGTGTGTGAATCTGTGTGTGTGGATGTTTCCCAGAGATGGGTTGCGGCTGGAAGGGCATCTGCTGTGTAAAAATTTGCTGGATAAGTTGGCGGTTCATTACGCTGTGGCGACCCCAGTTTAATAAAGGGACTAAGCCGACAAGAAAATGAATGAATGAATAAAGTTGATATTTTATAATTGTAATAGTATAATACTTTAATGCTTGCTTGGAAAAGTAAGATGTGCCAGATTTGAACACAGTATTAATGCATTTTATCAGTGAGAGATGTTAACAAAGCTGCAAAAATATATACATTAAAGTGAATTGACTACATAAGTGTCATATAAGAAACATCCACATCTTAAATGAAAAACTTCAGAGCTTGAAAAGAAGAGATTGGCCAGTTTTGATGGACACTGCATGCGTATGAATAATAATTTTATAGACAAATATGCATCCTGGATTTTTGACATTTGAGACTCTAAAATGTAATTTCTGTCTCTGCTGCATGTGAGGAGTGCGAGAATGTGGAGGGAAGGACGCCACTTCTGCTTTAATAACCTCCACAACACACTCCGACTGAGCACGAGCTGCATTACTAATGCAGACTGAAGAGGTAAACACCACACACTCAAGAGTCTCCCGCTAGAAAACTCCAGCAGCGCTCAACAAAACTACATGTAATAAGACACATTTCTTCATTAGTCTTTAATGCGCTCGTATTTTAGCTACAAATGTAAATGTAAAGCACACAGGATATCAGTCTTCAGGAATGAATGAGTGGGGCGTCTATTTTTACACATGGCTAGCCTGTGGCATCCGTCTTAAGAATGGCAGATGAGAGCTGCATTTTGGAAAAATGTTTCGTTCGGTGTGGTGACCAAGCAAGACGAATCTATCTCAGATGAGCACTGTGATGGCCTGTATTTATTTGATGTAAGCTAGAAAAAAAATGATGCAAGAAAATCCTGAAATATAATCATTCAAGATGAGCGGGAATTAAAACCTCACTGGGAAAACAAACCCGACTTTAGCATTTATTGACATCAAGAAAACAAATCGATAGCACTATTTTCTGTCCTAATAGTCAATCCTGGAGTTTACTGTGAAATATTTAACACCGTAAAGAAGGCGTGTCACTATTGAAGCTCTGTCTGAAAGGCACCCTTAATCAACTAGATTATGAGCGTGGTTGATATTTTCAAACCAAATGTGTATATTCCATACAAAGCATGAAGCTGATTGGCCAGTTCTTGTCATGCAAGTGCTCGTGGTAATCTTTCAACTAGATGTGCCAGGAAAGCAGGCCACGCTGCTCACGCGCCGATCCTAATATGTGTGGCATAGTGAATGATTATTTTCTATTTCTTACAGCATTCTAGTACCTGATTTGTTTGTAGTGTGATCAGTGGCTAGTTGTAAACGAGTTTGGAAGCAACTCGTAACATTTTAATGATATTTTGGCAAATTCAACGAAGTTGTTAAAGGAAAAAAAATATTTGTTTATCTCACTGAATCAGACTCAAAGGTCAGAGTCTGTAAAATGAGCAATACCTCATGGATAGGCCCAGATGGAATCTGTGAAAATTTTTTGCTATTTTTGCACAAATTTTTGGTAAAAATCTGGGGATTTATGCGAAATTGTTTTCGGAGTATCGTAACTAAAACCTTAATATATAAAATAAAAAGTAATCTCTTTTTAACTTAAGTATTTTTTGTTTACAATGCAAATCCAATTAGATCCACTTTATAATAATATATATAAATATATATAGGCGACGCGGTGGCGCAGTAGGTAGTGCTGTCGCCTCACAGCAAGAAGGTCGCTGGTTTGAACCTTGGCTCAGTTGGCGTTTCTGTGTTTGCATGTTGTCCCTGCCTTCGCGTGGGTTTCCTCCGGGTGCTCAGGTTTCCCCCACAGTCCAAACACATGCGGTACAGGTGAATTGGGTAGGCTGAAATTGTTTGAAGTGTATAATTGTGTGTGAATGTGTGTGTGGATGTTTCCCAGAGATGGGTTGCGGCTGGAAGGGCATCCACTGTGTAAAAACTTTTTGGATAAGTTGGCGGTTCATTCCGCTGTGGTGACCCCGGATTAATAAAGGGACTAAGCCGACAAGAAAATGAATGAATGACTGAATATATATATATATATATTCACTTTAAATAGAGAAAATATGACTTTACAAACTGTATTGTGAATACATTTTATTAACATTTTCATATTAGTCAATATTATTACTGAAATTAATTTAAAAACTGAATAAATATAAATTTAGTCACATTTACACAGGTAAATAAATAGAATCAATGATGGGCTAAAAACCTGGGGAAATCTGTGCGCGCAGATTCCATGTGGGCCTACTCATAGGCCAGTTTGTGACCTATATAACTTATTTCCTTCTGTTCACAAACACAAATAGACATTAAGAAGAATATTTGTGCAGCTTTACTTGAATGGTGAATTTGACCGACTTTAGAAAGCACAAAATAACGTGCTATATATCAGGAACAGCTGAAGTTAGAATGATTCGCCCTCCTGTGAATCTTTTTCATACTTCAAATATTTCCTAAATGATGTTAAACAGATTCAGGAATTTTTCACAGTATTTCCTCTAATATTTTTTCTTATTATTTGTTTTATTTCGGCTAGGATAAAAGCAGCTTTTAACTGTTTAAAACCCATCTTACGGTCAATATTATAAGCACCCTTAAGCAATATTGGTTTCTGATTGCCTCCACAACAAACCACTGTTAAACGATGACTTGCCTAATTACCCTAACTTTACCCTAATTACCCTAGAGAAGCCTTTAAATGTCACTTTAAGCTGAATACTAGTGTCTTGAAGAATATCTAGTCTAATTTGATGTGCTGTCATCATGACAAAGAGAAAATAAATCAGTTATTAGAGATGAATTATTAAAACTATTATGATTAGAAATTTGTTGAAAAAAATCTGCTCTCTGTTTAACAGAAATTGGGGAACAATATATACAGGGGGTGAATAATTCTGACTTCAACTGTGTTCTGTAGCCATGCAGTTATCATCCATCTAAGAGGAAGAATACAGGTTGAGATTATTAATCAATTCAGCCTGGCACCCTTTTTGAATCTGAGGCCGTGTTTCATGCTGGTATTACCATGCGTATCCAGTCATCCGAACACACAAGATGTCAGCTGAGATGCATTACCATTTCACCCTGGTGTAAAAATGTGCTGAAATGAGACACTTGTGACCACTCGTGTGTCTGGTTTCTGACAAGAGCTGCTCCTGACATTTCCTCACTTTCACAAGAGAGCTCAATGAAATGCACAGAGTCTGCTGAATGAACTGACAAGAATGATCCTATCTTTGACCAGACGAAACCAGAGACCAATATATGCCCAACATATGCCCACATTTTAAGCTGTCAGGTGTCTGAAACCCCTCCTATTGTGCCTAACAACAAATTCAGCGAGTCACCAGTCAGTAAATACGTTCACATCCATATACTTACTTCCACATTCAAGTGTATCTTCTAGCATGATATGCATGTTTTTGACTGTTTGGCGCCATCTTGTGAATGAATAATAATGCGCAGGTTAGTGTATGCTCCATTCAGCCATTTTTGGTTCTGTCTGCTTTGTGTTTTTGACTGTTTGTCTCCATCTAGTGTCTGAATAATGCGCAGGTTAGTGTATACTCCATCAGCTGTTTTAGTCTCTGTTGTGTTTTTGACTGTTTGTCTCCATCTAGTGTCTGAATAATGCGCAGGTTAGTGTATACTCCATCAGCTGTTTTATTTTCTGTTGTGTTTTTGTCTGATTGTCTCCATCTAGTGTCTGAATAATGCGCAGGTTAGTGTATACTCCATCAGCTGTTTAAGTTTCTGTAGTGTTTTTGACTGTTTGTCTCCATCTAGTGTCTGAATAATGTGCAGGTTAGTGTATACTCCATCAGCTGTTTTAGTTTCTCTTGTGTTTTTGACTGTCTCCATCTTGTGACTCCATCAGGTGTTCAATGAACCACTGTAATAAACCACTATTGCTCAGAACAATGTTTTGTGTGTAAGTTTTGTGGCAATTATCCATGTAATAAGCAGGATAAAGTACATCCAGTTGGTTGTTTTAGCAGAATGAACTCTTCAGTCTTATACAAGAGTGCTCCGATTTGCGTCGAGCTACTGATAAACCTGTCAGGATTTATTCTGTGATAACAACCTCCTGAATGTACTTTATCCCTAACATATCAGCTGTGCATCACTAGACAGGAGTGTGAGGTTTTTTATTGTTGCTGAAAGGCACTCACGCTAAACTTGATGATGTCATAGATGAGATAGCGTGGGACAGGCTGGCCGTTCACCTTGTCGATAATCATCTCCTGCAACACAACAGAACCATAAGAAATTCGGATCCACTTCTCATAAATATAGTCATTCGAACAACTGTGTGATTAAAAAAAATAGTAATAATAATATATATATATTTATTTTATTTATTATTATTTTTTTTTTTAGAAACACACGTATTGTGTCTCAATAAAAAGCAATAATAATATATTATATATCATTAAAAATGTACAATTTTAAAAAGGAGGTGTGGCACCCAACACCACCTCTAACCCCAACCGTCATTGGGTGATGAGCAAATTGTACTAAATTGTACAAATTAGATCATACGAATTAGCCACTAAATCAAAGTTACGAATTGTTGTGAGATTGCGTTGGAAACCCACACATTTTATCCAGGACAACAACAATTTTCTGAATGACCTATTATTAATTAATATCTGAGGAATGATGCATCAGCTTTAATACTTATTTTTTACCTTTGATCAGGTAAAATGCACCCTGTGGGCCTCCATCCATGATTCCTAACCCAAATAACAGGCTTTCATACGGACAAATAACTCACCCCATCCAAAAGTGTGTTGGAAAGGTGGATGCGCAGATCCTTCCGGAAGGGAAACTCCAGGTTTTCTATGTGGAAGACAGAGTTGTCTCTGTCGATCATGTAAACTTCATTTCTCCCATCTATCAACATCATGTACCTGTAAAAACACAAGACACAGAGTGAGGATGGCTGACCTCAGACCTGCGCCACTGTGTGTAAACGCAGCATCTTCGCTGCCTGCACGACCACAATTATCAACACAGCAAAAATCTAGGTTGTTAGGAGTTGCGAAGGGAGTGGGAAAATATAGAAACTCCTTTTTTTGTGAGAAATAGGTTAGCTTAACAGTTCCCCTAGACTTTTAGCATTTTGAAATCCATTCAGCCCATCTCTGGTTCTGGCGGGAGCACTTTTAGCTTAGCTTAGCATAGATCATTAGATCGGATTAGACCATTAGCATCTCACTCAGAAAGTTAAAAAAAAAAAAGAGTTTCTATTATTTTCCTATTTAAATCTCCACTCTTTTGTCGCTACATCATGTACTAATACCATTGGAAAATTGAAAAGTTGCTGTTTTCTGATATGGTTATAGGAACTAAACTCCAATTCTGGTGTAACCAAAGAACTTTGCTGCCGTACCATGGCTGAAGCAGCGCAATTAAATTACGCAACACCTGAAATTAATCCCAAGCTTGATAACTATACAACAGTGCTGCAAATTATCAATGTACCAACAAACGTCCTTGAATATTACACAAGAATGAGAGTTTAGTTCCTATAACCACATCAGCCTGGAAAAAAAAAAAACATTTAAATTTCTGTCAGTCTTTTTGCAGAATGTAACTACAGATAAGTCGAGTTTTAACTAGGAAAATGATCAAAACTCTTTTTTTAATGAGATGCTAATGGTCTAATCTGATTCAATTAGTTATGCTAAGCTATGCTAAAAGTGGTGGACCCCCACACGATTCAGAATGAAAACCAGCAAATGACCAAAACACTGATGACCTTTTGGTGACCCTAGCATAAACCCAACAACAGCAACAGCAAAGAATCATTTCTCATTAATGAACAGGATTTAGCAGGTAACAATGGAGCAGCAGCTTGAAGAACAGGACATCAACAACCCTGGACAGATTTAGCAGCTCTTCTCTGTTTACTGCTGCAGAAAAACAGAAGAATCGCTGATTGAGAGCATACGTCCCGGCGGCACTGGCACTGCAGGAATTGATGAGCTGCAATGATTAACCATAATGCCTTGTTTCATGTGGTTCACTTCCATCATGAAATAAAGTTAAACACTTTTCATAATGGGTTGAATTAAAGCAAGGGAAAGAGAGCCAGGTGAGGTGAAATGTAAGAATCACTGCAGGGGTGTTCACTTCAGATATGTTTCAAGCACGGAAGATAACGTTAAGATGATCATCTCCAGAACTGGACATGAAAAGAGGCTCGGCGATAGCAGACGGATCAAACTAGGAGGGCTTAAGTTTGGGGAAATAATCTGAGGCAGGATGTAAAATAGCTTTATAACAGTCCTGAGAAACTGAATGTATAAAATATCCATGAACATCAGCATCACGGGAGGTGTTGGTATTGAAAAAGACTGCATCAAAGAAATACAGGAGGCTCTTGAACATATATTTGAAAAAGATATACCTCTAGAAAGTAAATTGTTATATTTTGGCTGTGTGGATCCAGATATGGTAACGGCAGACAATAAATACCTTATGCGTGCGCTCATGGCTGCCAGCAAAAAAGCAATCACACGCAAATGGCTACAGAAAGAGCGACCAACCGTTAGTAATTGGATAGACGCAACTACTGAGATCTATACAATGAAAAAAATCACCTTTGTTGTCAATTTAAAGAAAGATATATTCCTGAGAAAATGGAGGAAATGGGTTGAATATATTTTAGTTAGAAGACCTGACTTTATAGCTGTAAATGAATAGAAGATGATGCTCTGATAGATAAATATATGCTAATGCATGTACATGTATATGGTTACACTTAATCATATCATAATGTGTCCCAGGCCCGGATTGGCTAATCGGGAGGACCGGGAGAATTCCCGGTGGGCCGGTCTGTTTTTTGGCCGCAAGGGCCGGTGTCCCTAGTTCCAGAATCTGTTGCTCTCAGCAGTCACACTTTTTAAAAATAATTTATTTATTTACTTGACCACAGCCTTCTTCTTCATTATTTTACCGCAGCTCTGCTCTTTTTATCTATTTTCTCGTAGCCTCGTGAGCAGGATGCAGCCTGCAGGTTAATGATGATATAACTAGATAAGTCACCATTCACCGTACAGCTGTTGTGGTACAGTGGTTAGTACGATTAGATAATGACGCGGCCAACCTGGGTTCGGTCCTTGTCTGAGTAACAATTTTTTTTTTTTTCATTTTTATTGTTAAGACATAATACTGTAAGGGTTGTTGAACATATGAAGTTCTAAAAGAGCTGTTTTCTCAAAAAAAAGGCGTGATAGTGTAATTAGAAACTGAATTGGAAATAACCTTATTTTAATATAGTCAGTGGTGAACTGAGGTGGGCCGGTCTGAGGCTTGAAACTCCAGGGCTGAAAAAGAGTCCCACTCCGGCCCTGATGTGTCCCCATGTGTATAATGAAGACGGCCACTTGAGATTACTCTTGAAGGAACTATATTATGACATGTGTTCTAACCCTGGATGTAAATAGTGTTTTAGCTTTCATTTATTTTTGATTATTGTATTTTTATTTTATCTTTTTCCTATTATTATTTTTTTTTCTTCTCTCTTTATGCTGTTTTTCACTTGATAATTTACAAAATTTGAGTACTACTGTGTAGTAAATACACCTGACAATAATGCACGTAATTTTTATACCACCTAAGTTCACATACTGAGATACCAATGTACCTTGAAATGCTGTATGACTGTACTCAATTGTATGTTCAAAATAAACAAAGTTACAAAAAAAGAAAAAGACTGCATCATCAAACCTGAAGATGCTCTGATCCAATGCTGAGATCATATATGTGAAGGATAATCAACGGCTTGCCGTGCGTTAAAGGAGTTTAACGCAAGACGTGGAAGCCTCCGCAAAGTGCATTAGAATCCTTTAAGGCACGGAAAGCTGTTGATTATCACTTATTCCATGGTCATTTGCCAAGGTAGGCGTAAGTTGAAATAAGTTTTGCTTTCTGCAAGGCAATATTCGTACAGATTTTTGTCAGTTTTTACATGTTAGATTTTCTAGTCCCTCCACTGAATCAGCTGTGACAGGCTGACAAAGGGGGAGGGAGGGAGAGAGAGAAAGAGAGAGGGCATGTGCGTGCTGTTTATACCTGTTAATATTAAGATGCGATTTCATCAATCCAATCACAGGTGGACATATAAGACATTCCCAGTCGTATCTGGAGTGTGTTTCATGTCCCACATGTTTCTATTGTCTACTTTCTACCAGTTCTCTGATGAGGGAGGATTTGTATATTCGCTTTCTCTTAACATTACCTTTAATGCTGCGAAAGCTGGGCTATCTATAGCAAAATGTACATTTCATAATCAACATATAAATCTTATTAAAGTACCATATCAATTAAATACGCTTTAGGAATATGTTACGCATTGGCTAATGAAATTAAAGATAATTTATTTCCTATCAACTTTAAGCCTTCACACTTTCATTTTAACATGCTGTTTTTATATAAATCCCTTTAACAAGTCTTTTGGAACATCTAAAGTAAATAAATCGTGTTATTATGCCTCTTTCCAATCAAAGTGTTAGGCTAGGCTAACTGATCTTGTGGAACTGATCGTTACAAAATGATTGCTGCTTTAAGTAGAATTACATTACGAATATTTAAACACTTTAATCTATACACATGAAATAAAACATTCACAAAGCTGTATCTTATGAAATGCCAGTTCAAAGGCACACAAGATGCATTAAGGAGAAAGTAGTCAGAGCCCATTTTAGAAATCTTTGCTGTAAAATATGTAAGTTAGGGAAATTTAGCAAAAGAAAACATTTGGGGACAGGTAAGAAAACATTCTGCTTTATTTACTTCAGCCAAACACGCTGGATCAGTGTAATATTACCGTACATTACTTATGGTCATGAATTATGAAACTTATCTCTGCGATCTGCCAAAAAACAAATTAAAAAAATAAAAAATTCTGCTCATTTAAAATAAGTAGTTTGAACAAAAATCACAAGTGAATTTTAGCATAAATTCAATGAAACTGCCCACTGCCGACAGCATAGAAATGAAGCACTGCTCATTCAGACGTCACCCTCAAACCAAGAAACTTTCTGTTGGCATTTAACTCACATGACTGCAAGTAAATCTGTGTCAAATAATGAATAATCACTCATCAAACTGATTTCTAATTATTGTTTTACAAATAAAACAACGCGGCCTAATAATAGCCTACAGAAGTCTGATGAGTCTGTATACTTGAGCGAGGTACATTAGCAGGTGTACGGCTCATTCTGCAATGCGTTAAATTCAATCTGTCTGGCAAACTAATTAACACTTAGTCCCCACTTCACAGATCATTTGGCAAATCAGCAGGCTATAATTCAGAGGGCAACGGTCTCAAATATTAAATATAGCATTTAAGTGTATAGTAAGCTAGCCTACGTTGTCTACACTTACTAGTAATTGGTGCTGCAGCAGTGCACACACACATAGTGCATATGAAGACACTTCATTAAAGAGACAGCTCACCCAAAAATAAAAATTCTGTCATCATTTACTCATCCCCCACCTACTGTGAACACAAAATATGATACCTGTGACTTCCATAGTATTTGTTTTCCCCATTCCCACTTTATTTTAAGGTTCAATTCTTGCTATTAATCAACCATTGACCATGACTTTTGCCTAATTTGCTGCTAATTAATAGTTATGAACATAGTAGTTAGGCTTATGTATTGGTCTATAGTATATGTTTTGCAGAGTGGATCCATTTCCAGCTGCAACCCAGTACTGGGAAACACCCATACACGCTTATTTATACACACACACACACACTCATACACTACGGACAATTTAGTTGATCAGTTCCCCTATAGCGAATGTGTTCGGACTGTGGGGGAAACCGGAGCACCCGGAGGAAACCCACGCCAACATGGGGAGAACATGCAAACTCCACACAGAAACGCCAACTGAC